TACTCCTGAGAGTTTGTCTCCGCCTACCAAAGGAGGAATTGGAGTATGTAAAGACCTGGGGTGTGCCGTGGGTGAGCGATTGGGATCGCCCTGGCGTGCGTGGCATTCGTGCTGATCGTCATCGTTCGTTTCAGCGGCAGATTATTTTGATTCGTCATGGACAGTACCAGAACGAGAGTTCAAATGATGACCGTGTCCGCACTTTGACGTTGCTTGGGGAGGTGCAGGCTAGACGCACTGGCGAATATTTGTGGAAGGCGTTTGTGCAGAGCGGAAATAAAATGGTGAGGGCGAAGGATTGTGCCGCGGATTATTTGGCGAGTGATGCCTCATCTTCGGGTGGCGTGGCGGGTGCGGCGTTGGGGGAAAATCATATGGGAGGTTTCTTGATTGCGACAGAGCCAAAATTCATTCACGTTTCAGACATGACACGTGCTCAGCAGACGGCAAAATTGATTTTGGAGGCGTTCCCGTCACATGTGCGCAGGCGGTTGGCAACGGATGCCGCATTGCGTGAACGATTCCCATGTGATCCGGAGCCTGTGTTCCGTAACAAATATGCATCATATAAAGACATGCGGGCTGTGGAGGGGGTCTTTGAAAAGTATTTCCATCGGCCCACCGCGGATGAATCCTCCGTGGAAATCATTGTTGGTCATGCCAATGTGATTCGGTACTTGGTGTGCCGGGCACTTCAGCTTCCGCCGGAGGCGTGGCTACGGATTTCATTGTCTCACTGTAGTATAACGAGCATTATCATTTCGGGAAATGGACATGTTCGGCTTTCGTGTCTGGGCTCGGCAGGGCATCTTCCCGTCGACCAAATAACGACACGTAACGTTTCTTAAATATATTTTTGAGGTCAAAAGTGGGAATTTTTTTAACTTTTTTCTTTATTGCTTGCCACCGCGTGAGGGCATTTGCCTTTTATTTTATTTTAACTGGCGTATTTTGTTGTAGTTGCGTCTTAAAGGCGATGTACACATTTATTTATTTATGGTTGATTTTTTTTTCTTTTACTTTGTTTCCAAGTGCTTCTGTGATGCATGATTTCACATGTAGGCTAGACACCACTTGTGGCGCATCGAATCCCTGTCTTACTGAATAATCTCACCGGTGAGTGTATCCATTCGGTCTTCTGCGTGGACCTGAGAGAGCCAAGATGTTGCGTTCCAGACTGTGTGCGGGTGTCCTGCGGTGATGAGAGAACTTCCATTACTACTGCAACTCCGGCGAGAGATGCATTACTCAATGACGCCTGCATGGTTAATCCATTCTCTGAGCTTGCGCCCCCCGCGCTGCGGCTTCCTTCTTCTGACCCCTGAGGTGCCATGTGATGAGACAATAATATGCTGTGAGACGTACTCCCTTATGATTGTAGGTTCTGGCGACGATGCCATGGCCCAATTGATTATAGACGGCATGCTGACACGGCGATATCAATCATTGTGGCTCCTTTGATAATAATTTTTCATGTTTGCCTTTTTTCCTTTCTCTTCTCTTTCCTTGCTGTCATCTCCGCGGTTCTGCTACCAAAGGCTCTCGTTGAACAATCCCACCGGTGAGTGTATACATTCGGTCTCCTGCGTGGACCTGAGAGAGCCAAGATGTTGCGTTCCAGACTGTGTGCGGGTGTCCTGCGGTGATGAGAGAACTTCCATTACTACTGCAACTCCGGCGAGAGATGCATTACTCAATGACGCCTGCATGGTTAATCCATTCTCTGAGCTTGCGCCCCCCGCGCTGCGGCTTCCTTCTTCTGACCCCTGAGGTGCCATGTGATGAGACAATAATATGCTGTGAGACGTACTCCCTTATGATTGTAGGTTCTGGCGACGATGCCATGGCCCAATTGATTATAGACGGCATGCTGACACGGCGATATCAATTCTTGCGGCTCCTTTGATAATAATTTTTAATATGTATATATATATATATTATGGAATACACAGGAAAAGTGTTATATATTTTTTTTCTATGTGTATTTGTGTCTGCTGATGGCGTGATGTCTTTTTATTTTTATTTTTTGCGTTTTGTTAAGATCTGTACAGGAGAAAATGAATACTTGTGCTTACCTTCAACCACTGCGACCACAACTGGTCGCTTCACTCATGGAGGCGATGGCCCATGCGTCTTCATTGCAGCATGTAGAATTGTCTGCGGCGATTACGATACAGTCATTCTATCGCATGTGGCGTGATCGTCGGTCGTATCGCGTGTTGCGGAGTGCCGTGGTCTGTCTGCAGCGGATGTATCGTGGTCACATGCATCGCAAGCGTGTGGCGGAGCTTCGGGAGGAGGCAGAGGCTTCACATGAAAGAGCTGTCTATGAGTACTACGCCACACGCATCCAGGCATGTTTTCGCGGGTACTATGTGCGATGCCACATAGATGACTTCTACGCCAGGAAAATCTACATTGAGCAAACTGTGAGGGCCTCGTCGCATGTGCAGGAAACGGCCAATAAAATGCTTCAGGATCGGCTTCAGGAGGAATTGGAAAGACGGCAGTCCAAGCAAAAACAGAACTACAAGGAGGCGACAGAGAAATTGCACCATTTGATCTCAACGACGTGTGTGAGTGGCATCTACAGGCGCCCCGTGATTCCATGCTCGACCGTGACTGTTTACGGGACGAGTGTTGAAAATGACATTCGGATTAATAGTGGGGCTGCCTTGCGTTCGCAACACGGACGGAGGATGCGGGAGAAGTTGAAAAAAACTGTAAACGACGGAAGGAAAGATGGAATGGTGGCTACTACGATCACGGATGGTGATTTTAAGAAGAGCCACTTAAATTGTGCAGGAGATAAAAATGAAGAGGAAAAGAATGTATGGAAATTTTCTACTTTACGTGGTGCATGGAACCGCAGCGGCGTCGAGCAGGTGAGTTTGCCTCCTATTAAAACTCCTGTGGGAAGTGGGACCAAGTATCTTGGCAAAGTCGTGAGTCATTCATGTATAGATGAGTTTGAGCCGATGTACGATACCGACACAGCTGCTTTGAAGCGTTTTGTAGACGCCAAAGAGATAGAAGCTCTTCATGGCAAGAAACCGTTTGTCAGTTCCTTCTCCAGTGGCATGTAGATGCGGAGAACGAGGGGAATAGAGTGAGAAGTGAAAGGGAGCATGCATGTGGATTGACTAATCTTCCCAATGTAGCATTATGCCTTCAGCAAACCGTATGACGTGTGTATTTATTTTTGTCGTCTGTCTGCTCTGTGTATCTTTTCCTTTTCCTGCGGTGCATTGCAGTCGGTTTGTGATGTCACGGTGTTTATTAAAACTTCAACATGGTATTAATAATAATAAAACTCATCATGGCATCTCATTAATTCTGCATTTCCCCTTTTCATTGAACACAATGCTGGCTTCTTTTCTCTTTTTTTTTTCTTTTTTTCTTGTTTATTTGATGCGAACTATTTAGTGGATTACAGTTTACTCCATTGTGTGTTTGATTTGTCTCTCTCTCTCTGTGTGTGTGTGTGTGGGAGGGGGAGGGATGTCAGTGCCGCTGGCTTTTCTATCCAAAAGAGTGGAGAGCATTGGTCTCTCAGAGTCTGCCCTTCCCGCTGCGCTGACGTCGGAGCAGATGCAAAAAATTATCACCAACTTGGAGGGACTCAGCAGCGCGGAGAATCGCCCCTGTGGGCGTAATTTTTTTGGGAGGGACTCCGTCTGCGCCGAAGCCAGCAGTTTTTTGGTCTCGCAGGGATGCCCCTCACAATCTCTCGTGGAGAGTAGTTTTGTCGCCGCCGGTGAGCACTCGGAGCTGGGGCAGATGCTGCAGTGGTTTGCCAGAGCTGTAGTGGCGTTGTTTGTGGACGGCGTAAAGAGCGGGACAAAGTTCCCACAGGCGTGGGAGGAGTCGATGCGGCGGCACCCGACACTCGCCAGTCACACCTTCGAGCTGCAGGGTGTCGGTGCGTTGTTCTCGTTCCTCATGTGCCAGCTGGCGGCGGTGGAGTCTGCGATGAGTAAATGCGGGGTGAGCGGCGAGATCGGCGCTATGCGAAAAGTGGAGCTGCGCAGCGACCAGCGGAAGGCGAAAAAGAGGAACGGCTTCGACACCGTCTCGGGGCAACGCGACGGCACACAAGAACACGTTCTAAGAAAAAACGTTCCCACGCAAAAAAACAGTAACGAGGCGGCGGTACCAAAAGACACATCTATCACAAACACGGCGGCAGCAGGGGCAACGACAACAACAACAACAACGGCGACGGCGACGGCACAAGGTGATAATGTGGACCGACAGACTGTCATTACGAGCGCAACGAAGCCACGTTTATCGTTGAGAACTTTAAAAATGAAAAGCGTGCAGCCGCTGTGGAATGCTTCAGGGACAACGGATGTGTCTGCGCCATTAAAGCCACCGATACCGTGTCCGCCCTTGACATCGCTTTCATGCAATAAATCTCAAGAGGCGCATTCGGGGAGTTTTCTTTCGCCCATGCAGCCGCGACAACAAGTGGCTTGCAGTGGAGCTTTGGCACCTGGCGTTGGTGGGCTGGATCACTTATCGCATTATTCGAAATGGCCGGATGAAAACATTGTGCCTCCTCTTGCTTGTACGCATGCTTTAACAATTCGATCGTTGTCGGCTAGGAATAATCGTGAGCCGGTAGACTCAGATGGTGACGCTTGCGATGGCACGTCAAATTTTCCGAAGTTGCGTGGTCATCTGAGTGGTACCGCCTCTACAACTGAAGAACCGAAGGTGGAGAAAAAACAGCCATTTAATTCTCAGTTTAAGCATTTGCGGTTGGAGGATATTGAGCAACAGTCGCGTGTTCAGGAGCTGCGTAAACAGTACGGTGTGAAAAATATTATCAACTACGCACGGCAGGAAGTGGAGGACTTCAAGACTGAGATGCAAAAAATGCGGGATATTTTAGATGCGGAATTTAATCGGACGGAAGATGCGGCATGAATGTCAATAATGGGAAACGATGGCTACAGCTCCATAATGAGGAAAAAAAAAAGAAAAAAAAGAAAGAAATAAACGGAAAAGGAATAATAGTAATACACACACACAAGAAAAAAAAAAGAAAAAAGAAAAAAGTACGCGTTTTATTTATATTATTTATTTATGTGTAGGTGTGTTATACGCATGTATGTATGTATGTATAGTGAGAGGGTGAGGGAGAGAGGGATATTGATGTGACGGGATTAATGCGGCTGACATACGGCGACTTATTTGTGCGATACGGCCTTTTTTTCTTTTTTTTTTTTACGTTTGTTGCGTTTTGGTGTAGTTTGCATGTGTATTTGAATTTTTTTTTTTCTTTTTGTTTCTTTTTTAGGTTTTATTTGCTTCTTGACATTTGGCTGCGCTGCTGTCTTCTCTTTTTTCTTTTTTTTGTTCGTTCGTTCGTTTTGCCGTCGCTGACTTTTGTTTTTGGAGGTCGCTGCCCGCCTCTTTAGACGGACGCGCGTGACTATCGCAATACCCCTTCGCCTTCCTTTTTTCTTTTCTTTTTTTTGTGTGTGTGTGTTTGTGGACGGACCGTATGCGTTTTCTGCGCTTGTGTGCACTGTTTTTGTGAGGAATGGAGGAGTTTCTCTGTGGCCTGCTCGTACCACTTGGGTGCCGTGGGTTGCAAGTCAATGGAAACAAATATAATGAAAGAGAAGATGTATGGCATGTGTGTGATATATAATAGAATGGACACGCTGAACGAAGAAAAAGAAAAACAACGACAAAAAAAAAAAAAAGAGCGTATAATGCCTCTTTCCTTCTTTCTTTCTTTCCTTCTTTCTTTCTTTTTTTTTCTTGTTTTTTTTTTTTTTTTCCTGTTGCTTCTGCCGTTTCATGACATTTAACCCGCTTTTTTTTTCTTCCTCATATCCGTTTCTTTCTTGTGTGCATAACATATGCGGAGTCCTCTTATTATTAATTATTAATTATTCTTTTTTTTTTTTTTTTTTTGGCACCGTGGCAGTGTTTCTTTTTCTCTTTTTTGTTTTTGTTCTTTCTCTATACATATGTGTGTGTGTGTGTGTGTGTGTGTTTCTTCCTCCGGGGCAGCACGCATAATTAGCGCTCAGGTGATAAATAGAGGGAGGGTGAGAAGGAGAGAAGAAGTAAATATAAATATAAAAATATATTTATTTATTTATTTTTGGAGAGAGCGCAGTAGAGAAGATGAGGCGGCGTGGGGCGATATTTCGACGTGGGACACGTCGCAGATTTCGATGGACTTTACGCGTTTTTATTTTTGCGTTGCTGCTCCTGACTTTTATCGTTTTGTTCAACGGACCCTTTTTTACGCTGCCACACTATTTTTACTTTGCTGGCAAAGGAGCCGTCGAGATGGGGCCTTCTTCTCCGGCAACGGCAACGTTGCGGGAGGTAGGACGGGAGCCACAGCGAGTGCGGCGCCCTACAAATGTGATGACAGATGTTCCTTTAAACATTCCCACTGATGCCCCCCAGGAAGGTCTGCTGTGGCCCCACCAACGCCACGATTTGGATGCCTTGTACTCCACTCAAACATGCAAACTGGTGGCTGATGGACCAAATGAGGCCAATGAAGGGGATGTATTGATGCGAGTGCGGTTATTTAGACCGAATTGCCGACAGAGAGTCCATGGAGGAGGCGAAGGGAAGGTGAGGAAAGGGCCATGTGACGACAGTGCACATCCTATTGTTGGACTCATGCCACATCAGTCGGCCGCATCGTTTTTCCCGGAGGAGGTTTTAATGGATGAGACAGACGTGCAAGTTGGTCCTAGCACTTTACGGAGTATTGTGGAGGAGGAAAAGGAAGAGGGAGAAGAGAAGGGAATGCGGTGGTGCGCCTCTCCCACGGCGTCACCGTCACTGCGATGCCGTCTACGTTGTCGTGGGGATGCGGAAGGAAAATCACGCCTGGTATGGGATTCCGGGGAGTTTTTTGTAGGCATCTCTCTACGCATGACGGCTACGCAAGACGAATTATCGAGTGGTTTGGATGCTAACTTTTCTTTTAATCCGGAGTATAAAATGCGTTTTTTTGGACTTCCATTATCCCATGCGTCGGGACTTCGTCTACCAGACGACGGTGAGTATCGTCTCTTTAACCAGTTTCACTTAAATCAGACACTCTTATCGGGGACAAGGATGCATGGTTCCGTTCCACTTTTGTACGGTATTGGACGAGCGCCAATTCGTTACGGTAAAAAGTCGTTGTATGGACAGCGACGACGTGCAATAGGCATTCTTTGGCTAAATGGTTCCCCATTACACGTGCGTACGGCTACAGGAGGCGTTGGCGGAGAAACGACCCTATCCTTTAGGAGCACAGCCGGTGCGACTCGTGTGTATCTGTTGCCGGGACCCACAGCCGAGGATGTTCTTTTGCAGTATTACACTTTGACGGGGTTTCCAATGATGCCGCCGCTCTTTGCATTGGGCTACCATCATGCACACCGTGGGTACGGGAAAATGGATGAACTGCTGAATGTGAGCGCTGCCTTCTTACAGGCACAAATACCAGTTGACACACTGGGCATTGGCTTGCATTACATGCGCGGTAAACGAATTTTCACGTGGAACTTGACACGTTTCTCGAACCCTGTGAAATTACAGGATGAGCTCTGGCGTCATGGTGGAAGATTTATGGTTCTTTCCACGGTGCCATATGTACAGGTGGATCCACGCTTTTCGCTTTACATTGAGGGAAAGCGACACGAGTACTTTGTCAGAACAAATGCGGATTCAGACGAGATTTTTATAGGATTTTCTGAGTCTGGTGCAAACGTATGGATTGACTTTCTCGACTCCCGTGCACGGCACTGGTACGGTGGTCTGATGAAGTACAAGCGTTTTCTTGGTTCCACAAACCACACTTTTTTTTCATTGGAGGAAAATGAGCCCTTTTTGCAGGGTGGAGTGCGGGGAACGCTTCCGATGGACGCGGGGCACCGTGGGGCCGTTCCGCATGAAGTTATTCATAACCTGTATGGCATGCTGCACGCCATGGCCGCTTACGGTGGCCAACTGCGACGAACACAATTCTACCGCCGGCCATTTCTCATTACACAGTCCTACTTTGCTGGAACACAGCGTCACGCAGCGGTGCGTCTGGGGTACAACGCGGCTTCCTGGGAACATCTGCGTTCCAGCGTAGAGCTGTGTCTGGCGCATAGCATTGCAGGCATTTCTTTTGTCGGTGCCGACGTTGGAGGATTTTACTTTCAGAACGTTGAGGAAGAGTTATTAGTGCGGTGGTATCAACTCGCTGTGTTTTACCCGCTTTTTTGCACGGATGCCAACGAGAACGCACCGTTACGTGAAGTGTGGCGTTTGGTGCCCCATGTGCGCGCCCGCATTCGTGACGCCGTGCAGTTCCGTTACGCTCTTTTGCCATATTTGTACACACTTTTTTGGAGAGCCCATTTGGATGGCGAGTTAATCATTCGTCCTCTTTTCTTTGTTTACCCGCAGGACCCTCTTGCGTACGTTGAGCCGACGATGCTGGGCCAACGGTTTTTTCTCGGTCCACACCTCTTTGTGGCACCGGTGTTAACTTCAGTGGGAACGAGGGATGTGCTGCACACAGTTCAGATACCGCAGGAGGATTTATATAATTTTTGGTCGGGCGAATTTGTGGCGGCGGGAACGACATTGCGGGTTTCAAAGAACATTTCATATTCACACCTGCCGGAGGAGGAGATCACACCGCTTTTTCAGCGGGTAGGAACCGTTCTTCCTACATTTACGAACACGAGTGGGATGCGCAGCACGCACGACGCGGCGAACTACACTCTAACGGTGACGCTCCCACGTTTGGAACCGTTTTTCTCGGGAGGAGGAGAATACGGGGGCAGTGGAATTAGCGATCAAATTCTTGCGCAGGGCGATTTATTTGTAGATGACGGTAGTCGACACATCAATTATCATGGCCGCAATGCCAACTATCACGCATTCTGTGCCCTTGCCTTGGAGTGCGTTCTTTTTCCAGGGAAAGGTGACCTTGTTCTGAGGTGGAGAGCCATTGCAAACTCGTCATGCTGTGATGTACTCCACGTGCTTCGGAGTAGCACGACAGACGTGACAGATGGAGAATCATTTCTCTTGACGCGTCTGCGTTTCATGTTTGCCACGCCTGAGGAGAAGAAGCACGTGACGCTTGTTGAGTCTCTGGTGGACGATCAGAGAATGACGCTTTCGCTAGGTGGGAGCAAGCCGTCATTATTGGAGGTTTCTGGTGTGGCGCTGCCACTGCTGGCTGGGGATTGCCACGGGAATGGTGCCGACAGCCGAGGCTCCTCACGGCCGGTGGGGGAAGTTCACCTAAAATTGAATTTCTCACACGACTCATGGCCTTGAGACACAAGGATGAAACACGGAAGATTTTTTCCCCTTTACACCCCTTCCACATAAACACCCACCCACACACGCAAAAAAAAACATCTCTTTCTGCTTCTTTCGCGTACCCCTCTTGTGTTGAGTGTTCATTATCATTGCCATTATTTTATCTGCATTTCCTTCTTTTCTTATTTTGTTTTATTTTTATTTTATTTTATATGTGCCTGCCATGTGGAAGAGGGGAGCCCTACCTTTTTTTTTTTTTTTGGTTTTACCCTCCTAAACAAACGCAGGAAGAAATAAATGCACAAGCGTACGGGCATGCGCCAGAAGCCGAGGAAAGATGTGTTATGACTTTTATTGTGATTTGTTAAAAATTATTTTCCTTTTTTTATTTATTATTTTTTATTTTTGGCTTCCCGTCGTTTTGTGGTGGCATCACGCACAGGTGTTGACGATTGACGGTGCACAGGAAGTGATATTTCAATCTGTCTATTTTTTTTTTTTCTTTGTTCTTTTCCCCTCTTTTTTTTTTTTTTTTTTTAGTGTGTATGTGTCTGTGTGTGTAGAGAGGGGGGGGGAAAGAAGTGGGAAGAAAAGGAAAAGAAGAGGAATACAACACAGGCACAGGAGTCTTGCTGGAGTTATGTGTGACGTACAGCAGAAACGTGTGGAGAAAGCGCCTTCCGCACGTCGTCTGCATGAGATGATCACAGCCAAGCTTCTACATCGCATCCGTAGCAATGATCCGACGCTATGTACTCTGCACATGTGTCCAGAGTTGATCACATCCCCCGGCATGTTAGACGCGTTGCTGCGGAATAGTACTATCCGTAGCGTTGTCTTTGTCAATGTGACCGCAAAGACGGTTTCAGAGGTATTATTTGCCAAATTTCTTGCGTGCCTTTATCACCTACCATTGTATACCCTGCTTGCGGGAGGTAACCTGCGGTTACCCGCTCATTATATGAGGCATCTGCTGGAACTTGTGGAGTATTCATGCGGTGTTGGAAAAGGCTGCAAATGGTCGTCAGAGGAAAACAAAGCCACAGTTGTAAAAGGTGCGGCATCTGCAGCAGATGAGGTTGTTAATCAGGCGACGAACTCCTCTACGGATGACTTGAAGCCCATGGCAAAATTAGAGTTTGTTGACCTCTCGGGAAGCCACATCACAGACTCGCATGTCATGTGGTTGGGGAGGATGATATTTCATCCTCGAAGTTCACTGCGGCATGTTGATCTTTCTGAATGTCGTTTGGGGACGGTGGGTGTACGGAGTTTGCTACTGGAGGAGTTGACATTGAACTCACGTCTCACTGCTGAAGTGGCGGATAACACACAACTCGAGGTCTTAGATATACGGTGGAATGGCATCACGGAGGATTTTGCGTTAAGGGTATTTCTGGACTCTTTAGAGATGAATTCCAGTTGCACAACATGCATACGGGCACATGGGAATTACATATCTTCTGAATTATATCAGCGACTTGTTGATCGAGAGGCCAGTATGCTGTCTATCATTGAGGGCAAACGTCAGAGAAGGCGTCAGACGAGGCGTACCGAGGCGGAAGAGCTCAGGCGACAACTTCAGCAACAAAAAGAAGGACAACAGCAGCAGCAGAAGCAGCAGGTTGTTTCTTCTTCTAGCGGTGCTTTGGGTTTTCTTCTTTCCGTTGTTTCTGATTCGCCGTCGTCCTTGCCGTGTCTTAGCCTGCTGGCTTCCCTCTTGCATACGCAGGAGTGAAGGAATGAATTTGATGAAAAGGGTTTTTATCACTTTGCCTTATTCCAGTTTTTTTATTTTTGCCATGTATGTACATTTTATGTTTGAGATGGTAAAAATTATTCAGGGTGTTTGGGTTTTTGTGTCGGTGTGCTTGTCTGGTTTTTCTTCTTTTTGTTTTTTATTTTCAGCACGCCTACTCCGTGTAGGATAAAAAAAAAAAAAAAAAAGAGAAGAAAAAAAAAAAACGGCAGCACCAACAGCAGGAGGGAGGCGCTCATGTACAGTTGGAATGCTCCGCTTATTGTTTGACATTTCCCCCCATATTTGAGGGGTGGCGGGTGTATTATGTGGAATATCACACGCACACACGCACAGAAACACACGTTCCCTTTTTCCTATTTTTGGGTCTCTGCCACACCTGGTGTGTACGTGTTTCTCCGCCGAAGATTATTATTATTATTATGGAGTGAGCATTTTGAGGTTTTGTCGTTTTCTCTTTTTTTTCACTTCACACTTTCCCCCCCCCCTTTTTTTTTTGTTTGTTTGTTTCATTTCCCAGTTTGTCATTCCTTCCATAGTTGGCAGCTGTGGCCGACGGTGAAGGATTGAGAAGCAGTTTTTGTTTATTTATTATAATTTTTTTTTTCTAACTTTAGACACGGTGCGGCGGGGAGGTTTGGCGGCGACTGCAGCGCTGCACGCGGCAACGCAGGCCCATGCAGCAGGGCGGCTGGCGGCGCCACGGCCAGTGCCGTCCTTTAAACCGGTTCCGTTCAAGCAGGAGAAGTTTCTTTCAATGAAGAGCCGCACCGCGGAGACGTACTTCAACACGCGGAAGCACATTTTGAAGCGCGCTGCCGACGTTCAGCTGCAGGTGAGAAAGCGGCAGCAGGAGCAGAGTGGAAAGGAGGGTGATGCGTGCTGTGACCGCATACTCCGCGGGAACCCGCTGACTCCACACGTGGCAGACGAGATAGACGCTTGGAACAGAAGCCTGAAGGGACTCGAGGCGCTTCAGGGATTCGTGTTGACCGATGAGTTAATATACGGAGCCATCTCGAAGAATATTCGTCTAGGGGCGTTTCCATACGCGTTGGATTGGCTGAGAAAGTGCGCGCGAGAGCGTCGAATACCCTTTCCTACTGCCGTGCTGCATGATGTGCGGTTATTTATTGATTTTTTGCAGTCCGTGTTGCCGTCAAGCAATTTGAGTTTGACGAGGGCACACGAGGCTCTTCTTGGAGGGACGTTTGTGAGGGCTGGCCCTACAGCATTAGCCACAACCGAGGCAAAAACTGCAGCTTCTATTGGCTCTTCGGATGCGGAGGGTGGAGAGGAGACACATGCGGTTCAATTGGTGAACTCATCGCCGTACGTGCGGTATCTTTTTAAAGAACTTTACATTCCTCTCTGGGAGTGTTTAGTGGAATTGGGTCTTCTTCCTTTGGAGAGAAGTCATGAAGCAGAGATGGGCTGGGAACAATCGTTGCGGGAGGCGCGCCATGATGAAATGGTGTTGGATCTGTTTGGCCGTCTTTGCTGTTGTCCTTGCTCTGATGCTGCCTCCGTTTCGTCTTCTACTCCTTCCCCTTTGTCGTCATCGTCTTCCTCCCGTGACACGACTTTGGATGGCAGAGATAAATCCACCGCAGCGGTTTTAGAGGAATACACAGGGCTTCTTCTTGCTCTTGTACAATGTGCAGCGGAGGCCAAGGAGGTGAGGCTCCTTATTGAACTGCAGTTGATGTTCTGCATGCTTTTTGTTGCGCCGTCAACTGCGGGCGAGTCGACGTCGGGTTGGAAACTAAAAAAAACTTTTTGGTGTCACAGTCAGTCCGATGAAGAATTACTGTGCCGTTTTTCAAATGAGTTTATTTCCGCTCTGTACTATGGCAGACTGGCATATCAAAGCGAAATGTTGCTGCACCGCCATATTTGTTCCTCATTTAACGTTGCCCATGACAATGAGGATGGGGATGATGCCGATAGTAGTAATATTGATAGTAACAATAATGTTGAGGACAATGATGATGGTGATGATAATGATGAGCGTGAAGGAGGCATGAACTGCAAAGAGCACGATGGGGATGAGGATAAATTGCCATCATCCTTCTCAAACGACAAACTTAGGGCCCTTGACTCTATGGATGTTTCATCCTCAACGTCATGGCCGGAGTCGAGGCGGCAGAAAACATTGGATGACATACTGAGGAATTTACTTCAGAATGAAGCATCCACGCTTGCAGATGCGTCCGTGTACGCTGCTTTAGTACTGGAGGATCCTGCGCTCATTCCCAAAGACGACAATTCCACGGGAAACCATCGCTTCTCAAAAGTCGAGGTTGAATGGATGCGAGTGCACCTTGATATTTGCCGTCGGTGCCATCATGGAGAAAACGTTGCATCCGAATTGGAGGAATTTTTCCTTTTAGGCGGAGTGGTGGCGCAAGGCCTTGAGACCTCCATTAGCAACATGGAAGATCAACAGTGCTTCCTGGCGTTGGTGATGGAGACCATAGTGGGTGTCGTGGCAGCGTCGACAGTGCCTGCAACAGAGCGGTATACGTTGATGGTTCGAGTGATGACTGAGCTTCTGATTCGTATGGAAGAGGCCCAGAAAAAACAACCGAAGGAACAACGTGAAGAAGCCACATTGTTACAGTTGCCTTTGTACAGTGCGGCGAGTGCTATGGTCCTGTTGTCCCCTTTACTGCGCACGATCAGCAGCCCTGAGGGGGTCAACGGGGATGCGATGGATTTAAATGACGCTGCCGCACTACAAAAAGATGCGCTGCGTCTTCTGCAAGAGATGGTACGGAGTGTGCTGAACCAGCCAACAGGCTTTGGGAATGCGTACAGTGTGGTGTTGATGCTCCTTCCACAGGTGGAGATGTGGGAGGAAGTGCAGCGTCTACTGCACAAATTAGATGAGTCGGACGAAGAAGGGGGAACGGCGCATGGGTTTAGTAGTGTTATATTAGACCAGCGTGTGTGGGCATGGCTATTTCGGAGGGCACGCGATGCAGGTCGAGCAGATATTTGTTTATTTTTACGCCAAAGGCGTGAGAAGCTCTTTTATTAGAGAAGGAAGCCGTGTGGTGAAGTACCGCTGCTACTGCCGCTTTAAAGTGCTGGTGATAACTGTGCGATACGGCCAAAACATGTGTGCTTTTCTTTTATATCGTTGCTGTTGTCGTTGTGGGCTGTTGTGGTGGCAACACTGTCCGCCTCTCCACCCTCTTCCTCTCTCTTTACCCTTCCGCCCGTCTCCTGGAGGAATGGCGTGGAGCTCACATGACACATGTTCAAAAAAGGGGTTGTGCATGAATGCGAGTGCGTGGGCGGTTTGAGTGGATCTTTTTTTTTTCTCTTTTTTTATTTTATTTTATTTTTGCCGTTTGTGCGCCATTGTCCGCTAGTAGCTATTTGTCTATTTTTTTTTATTTTTTAGCGGGTCGCATGCGCCGCACAATTGCTGCGCTGACGGCCACGCCGGAGCGCTTTTCTATTTTAGGCACAACACACCCGAAGCCCAAACGGACTGGCTTTGGGCGTAACAACAAGATGCGCTCGAAGCCGAGCGACAATGTGGCGTGGTACGACAAGGGGCCGGTGGAGTGGCTGCCACGTCCTGTGCGCCTCACATACGACCACCTCGACCAGTTGCGCGATTGGATGATGCGAGAGACGCTGGACGGCAAGACGGAGGAGTTTAATCGCATTCGCGACATGCACCGCGAGTGGTCGCAGCACCCGCTCATGCCGGTACTCGGCGACGTTGAGCCGAAGTTTCCACTGAATCTCTTCAAGCAGAACCACCGGGCAAAGCGACGGTTCTTGGTCCGTTGGCACAAGGCAAATACCCCCGCCAATTGGCTGTGGATGCCGCGGGGGCCCACCGTCGTCACGCCGCTGCACCACACAAACCCCTCGCAATACCCGGAGAGTTGGAGGCAAATGGTCCGCAAAAAAAAGTAGCCGTTAAGTGGCGCCGCTGCGGAGGTGGGGAGTTGCGTCTTTTTTTTTTTGTGTGTGTGTGTGTTTTTTGTCTCTGACTGTCTTTTTTCCCTTCTCTCTCGCTGTGTGTGTGTGTGTGTGTGTGGAGGCAATGTTCACTCTTATTTGTGGTTTACCAGTTCGAGCCTTTTTGATTCATGCGGATGATGACACGTTGTGATCTTCTGCCTTTTTGAGCACATTGGCCGCCTTTGTTTTCTTTTCCCCCTTCTCCCCCGTTCTGACGGCGGAGGTACTTTTGTGACGTGCTTCTTGTAGTGTGGAGACGGGAGGGAGCGAAACCACACCGAACACACACACAAAAAAAAAAAAAAACACAAAGAGAGAAAAAGAAAAAAAGGGAAACGGGGTTAGAAGAAGAAGTCAGGCCTGGGAGGTCACGTAGAAAACGGGGATCAAGAAAGGAGCAATTAAAACTAAGAAAAAAAATAAATAAATAAATCAAAAGAGGAATTCAACACATGGACGAAACTCATAGGTTTCGCGAGGCGGTGGCGATGCAGATAGACTGGGTGCATGTCTTGATAACCGAACGCCATCGCCCACACACCACATGGAAAATAAGACAGGCGGCATTCTTTGCCTTTATGCACTTCTGCTTTCTGATGGTTTTTTTGGGACATTTTGTTCACAATATCGTAACGTGGGTATTGGCGTTTTTGCTGCAGGTGGCCGCCTTGTTGTTGTCCATTTTTCATATTTCCTCTGTCACGGATTACGCGGATAAAATGAACAACGCCATGGAGCTTGAGCAGCAACTCAACCCGCTGATCATTGCGGAACTGAGTATTCGCTGCTTTGCGTTGCTTCACTGCCTGTTGATGGGCGGTTGGTTGATGGGTATTGCCGGTTTGTTGGAACTGGCGTATGACTATTGGATTTTTAGGAGGGGGGACTTTTTAGTTGATGCCACAACAGCGTGGAAAAAATTGGGTGCACTTGAGATGGACTCTCGTGTGCGTTTGGCGTATCAAGGTGTCATGGTGATTGCCTCGATATTTAGCTTTATTCATTTTCTGGTTTCCATGTGATTTTTTCTTCTTCCGTGTACCTTTTTTCCTTTCCTCTCCTTTCCTTTCCTTTCCTTTTTTCTTTTTGCGTTTTAGTTTTTCGTATTTTTTTTTTTCCTCTTTTTTGTTGCTGCTTGTACTGCTTTGCTTGTATTTGTGATGATGATGAAAGATGATGGCGATGCTATTTGTTGGGTGTGTGCGATTCCATGCATTTTACAGCGCGTACCGGAGAAATAATCGCCATTTGTACTGCTGAGTTTTGAGCCTTGCCAAACCTCTCCCCTTCTTTTTTTTTTTTTTTCTTGTGTGTGTGCGTCTGAGTTCAGCCTCTTTCTTTCTCCTTCATTTTCTCTGCGTGGTGGTGTAGGGGGGCGTGGGGAGAACAGGGTGGCCGACTTAAAGACCAAAACACACACACACACACGCACAGACGTCCAAATATAACGAGAGGAAGATCGAGAAGGGACATGTCTGCATCGACTACTGCCCGTTTTCTCAGCATGGGCTCCATGTACTGCGCCGTTTGCGGGGCGTGGATGCCGCAGCAGAAGAGTTTAACGTCACTGCCACCAGTGATGTGTTGTCAGCAATGTGGAACGTACCACCGACAAAACAACAACAACAGCGGCGATGGTGTTTATGAAACGTCCACATGCAGCGCAAGCAACAACACCACTGCTGCGTTGCTGTTTACGCCGAAGGAGGTTCGTGCCGCGCAGGCTGAGGTGATGATGGCACGGGCAAAGGCAGGCACAACCGTAGGAACGACGGTCGGCAGCAAACATGTTGACAACCGCGTCTTGGAGGAGGCATTTTGTGGCACATGTGGTGTACACCGCCAGTGTAAAGTGTTTGCACGTCAAATACGAAGCGCAGATGAGGGGCAGACAATATTTTATCAGTGCATAACGTGTAATGCGGAGTGGCAACTCAATTCGTAACCTTTTATCTTCATTTATTTGCATTTAACCCTTTTGTTTTTGTTCTTCCATACGGCTTTTATGATGATTATTATTATTGACGGTTTTTCTGTATGCATTTCTGCCCGTCTGTTTGTTTTTGTGCGTGTGTTTTTGCTACGAATAAGACGGAGTGTGTGGGATTCCGATGAAGAGAGGGAAGATTGCCTCCACACGCTTCCCTTCGCTTCTCTACTCCCATTGGAGTTTGATGCGTGTTACGTAAAATTTATAAATCGCCGGTGTTTCTCTGTGTGTATGGTACTTATTTCTGAGTGAGTTTTACACGGGCCAATATTTCTCTGGATGATATTTCGAACCGCCTTCTTTACTTTTCTTTTTAATATTCTTCCCTTCTCATTCTCATTAGCGCACGTTGTTCTCTCTTACGTGTCAAGGTGCGCATGTCTCTTTTTTTCTCTCTCTCTCGCTATGTGTGTCTGTATGTGTGTGTGTTGGGCCCACTTTTTCTCCAGTTCTACAGGTATATTTGTAGATTACAATAACGTGTTCTCACGAGACGCGGCTTGTGTCCGTTTGCGAAGGATAATAGCGTTGGGAAGGGAGAAACAAACGGGCACGAGGGAATTATGAGCAGTGAGGGCACGCCGCAGCTGGCGGCTCTGAAGCAGCCAAGTGAGACCACCATCATTGATAGAACCATGCATCTCTTTGGCACCACCCAGCAAAGTTCACATGAATGCGAAATCGAGTCCCTCCCGCTTGAGTTTCTCTCCACGAACCGCGTGGTGTCTGTTTTGGAGAAGGCCATTGAGCGGTTGGAGCTGCTGGGTCTTTTGGATACAACGGCACCCGACGAGGGGGCCACTCGTCCATTTTTTCCCGCGATTGGCAGCACCACAAATGTAGGGGATGCCGGTCGGAACAAGTCCTCTTCTTTCACACCGCGTAAGGCGGCGGTGATGGTTGCCAGGAAAGAGGAGATGTCAACCAGGACAGTTTCTGAGCTTAACTCGGCGTTGTTGGCTGTTGCAAGCACACAACGTACCGGGCGACCCACCGTGGCGGATTTGGTGGAGGAGCAGCAACGGCTGGAGTTGCGCTACGGAGAGCTGCTGCGTCGGGCGAAAAAGGCGAGGCCAAGTCCTAATGAACCGGAGCTGGACCCGAGTTGCTTTGCCGCCGTTCAAGACACGGAGCGGGCGGCTGTTATGGAGGAATTAAGGCAGACATCGCGACGACTGCGTGAGCACAATAAGGCACTTTTTATTCAACTTAAAGATAATCCCAATGATGTGGACAACTGGAAAAAGATTGGAAATGAGAGGTCCGAGTTGATTCAATTGCTGCAGGCTCTTATAAGGGAACTGACATCAGGATACAACGCTGCGAAGGCGGCTGTTGCACAAGGAGGATTGCCACGCCCCAACAGTAGGCGCAAGCGCTCCGGTGTCTCGGAGAGTATAGGGACGGAGTCAAGGGAGGCTACGATGTCTCTCGTGAAAAATCGCTTTGGTAGCACCATTCAAATGAAGCGAAGTGTACGAGGTCCCACAGGGCCTCGTATCCCTCTAACATCGTTCTTTGAACGCTTCGCCAAGTTAATTTCAGACGAGCAGAATGCTCAACGCTGGGCCGATGAGCTACTTCTCAAGGAAAAGGAAATGAATCAGAATGTGAAGCAGCTTCAGTACGACCTCAAGGCTGAGAAGGTGCTGAAGGAGAAGGATATAGCCGAACGTCGCCAACGCATCGCCGAACTGAAGGTCAAGGTAAGACTGGAAAAGAAGCATGTAAAGGAGCAGAGTGAGGTGGTACGTGCCGAGGTAGAGGCTTTGAATGAGGCGAGGCAACGTGCTGCCCGGGATGAGGAGCGCGTGGTGCTTGAACAAATACGTGGATTGGAGCAGGAGGAACAAATGGAGAGTCGGGCGCATGCGGACTTCAAGGAGCACCTCATAGAGCGTACCGAGGCGATGGATGAACTTGCGAGCCAGTGGGAGAAAAAGAACCAGACTGAGATTAAGCGGGTTGAGGCACGCAAGATTGACGTTGAACAGATGCGGCAACAGTGTGCGGAGCGGTTGCAAAAGGCATTGAAGGACAAGGAATTTGAGCTGCAGCTTAAGTCACAGAGAGATGAGGAACGAAACCAGGAGGAAGCGGAAAGGACGGCAGCGGAAGCTCAGGCAAACCTGGAATACGACGCCGTTTCGCAGATTCAGTCTGCAATTCGAGCCATGTTTACACGACAGGCTCTCATTATTCTTAAGAAGAAGAACAGGAAGAAGCGGAAGGCAGAAAAGAAATAAAATGGCCATTGAAGCGAATGGATGAAAAGGGAAAAAAATACGCGAGTACAAATTTATTTCTACATCATATCTACTACGTGTGCGTAAATGTACTTATGCATGAATACACAAAGACGAAACGAAAAAAAAAAAAACACGAGTGGAAAAACCGTATGAATGAATGCCTGGAGGATAGAATGGATGGGGGATCCTATTTAGAAGTGTGCATCTATGTATGTTGATGTGCATGTTTATGTGTGAATGTATATATGTTTATTTGGTCCTTGTTGTTGTTGTTGTTGTTCTTAAAACTTGTGTTTTAGTTTCACTGTACACCAAATGCATTTTCACCACAGTGTTTGTATGTATAAATCGGTTACGTGGGAAAGAAATGGACCAGTGCGTCTTCAATAGAAGAGAAACTCGTGTGCAAACATGGAGTTGCTTTTTTTAGTCTCTGAGTCTTTTTTTTTTTTTTTTTTTTTGCATGACGGCACCTTTACGTCATCCCTTTCTGTACGGTGACATGTAGGGTTTCTCTGGCTGTGTGTGTGTGTGTGTTTGAATGGGGCAACGCACTCTGTCCATGCAGCGGCGGAAACGTTGCAAGCCAGAGGGGAAGAAGGAGAAGGAAGAGGTGGTGGAAGTCATGGCCGCGACGTCCCCCACGACGACGCGGCACCCACAAAAAGGAAGGAAGACACGTATGACGGAAGAAGAAACGGCCGCGTTGTTTCTTGCCGATCTGGCGGTCGCCACCACGACGAATGGCGATGCCATCGCTGCCCGTGAGACAGAAGGAGGGCTGTCAGAAGCCATGAAAAAGGGAGAAAATGCATCGACTACGAGGATTAAAAGCAAAAAATCTTCTCCGATGGCGACAAAAACCACACGCAGCGGGAAACGTGTCCCTGCTGACACGAGAAAGACCAGCACAGTGAAGCCATGTGTGTTGGGGTCAATGGATCTTTCAGCGATGCCGCTTGAAGAGGGCGAGGAGGATCCTTCGGTTTCGGCGGAGGTGCTGCGGCAGACCGCTGCATTTCTTGCGCGCCTCACACCGGCACGGTCGCAGCAGTTCTGGGCAATGCGTCAGATGGCACGTGGAGAATTGAGCGGTCGTTCGGCTGCGAGAATGAGAAGGACGGAGTTGACATCGGATGATAATGTGAGGGAGTGGGATGAGGAGGATGTTGAGTTTACATCGAGTGAGGGTGTCTATGATAGGGAGGTTTCTAGCGTGGCGGGCAAAGAAGAAATGTCTTCTTCTTCAGAGGGGGAGGGGGAGGAAGACTTCGCTTGGCCAAAAATAAAAGAAAATAAAACACATGCCGCCGCCAAATGCAAGAATAGAGTGACGAATAAAAAGAGGCCTCGTGGCGGGGCGCTTTTCAGCAGTAATCCGGATATTTGGGATGACTGAGGGGCAGTGGGGATGTCTTGCTGCTTTTTTGCACCTTTTTCTTTCTTTTTTCTTTTTTTTTTTGTTGTTTTTTTTATGCTGGCAGCCTGGAGGATAGATGAATTTCCAACTTGGAGAAAGAGGAATGACGATTAACCGCAAAGAACAAGGGTGCCCGTCATAAAATGTACACCTCGACGGTTTTTTTTTTTTACTCTCTCTCTCTCTCTGTGTGTGTGTGTGTGTTCAGAGAACAGGAAAGAAAAACCGTTAGGCTTTTGGTTAGGCGGTACACGTGCACTGCTTGTGTGTGTTTGGAGCCCTTATGAATAGGGAGGTGTTGGATCATGTGACTTTATGTATATTATTTATTTATTTATTTATTTTGTCGCAGATGATGTTTTGTTTGCTCTCTCTCTCCTTCTTTCTCTCTCTCTGTCTGTCTGTCTGTCTGTCTGTGTGCGTGTGTACTTAAAGAGAGTATTGTGTCGATGGGTGCGAATAACTCAGTCTTTGTTGCGTTGTGCAACATTGTCAAATCGTTCTGCACACACAGCTTTGAACTGTCCGCCATAATTTTTGCGGGCGTGGTGGCTTATGTCATTTGCATGCGTTTTATGGATCCTGTTTGTATGAAGTTGTTGGAGCGTCGTATTTGCGGCATCGACATCAACAAGACGACGCTGGAAAAGCGGAGGAAGATAGCAGAAAAGCCCCTCAAAGCCCTGGAGGAGGAGGAAAGGCGGCTTGTTGTGCCAGAGTCCCTTGGCATCCTTGCAGGCGCTGTGTATTTGTGCGTGTTGGTGCTAGAACTGGCAATTGTGTTCGGGCCCTCCATGCACAAGTTGGACGGTGCGATAACAGCCATCACGGTGATGTTGCTTCTTGGATTTGTGGATGATGTGTTGGATGTGCGCTGGCGGCATAAACTTCTTCTCTCGGCCATTGGAACTTTTCCAGTCATGTTGACATATGACGGGAGTGTGTCCATTGCCGTTCCACGTCCATTACTACCGTACTTTTCCACATCTTTTGTGTATCTTGGCGTCTTTTATCTGCTGTATTTGGGCTTGCTATGCATTTTCTGTACAAACAGCATCAACATCCTTGCGGGTGTAAATGGAGTGGAGGTGGCGCAAAGCATTGTCATTGCCTTCACATGTGTTGTTTACAACATTTTTCAGTTACGGTTAGAGACGGAGTTTCAAGATGGATTAGATGGTTCTGGAGACATGTATGTTCATAAAATGGAGACAGATGGCGGTGGTTCCATGCATGAATTAATGGCAATTGCACTTTTAGCACCGTTTATAGGTGTAAGTATAGCGTTATGGCACTACAATCAATACCCTGCTCGAATCTTTGTGGGTGATAGCTACACTTACTTTGCGGGAACTGTACTTGCTGTTGCGGGTGTGACAGGGCAGTATGGCAAAACCCTCATGCTGTTTTTTCTTCCGCAACTTATTAATTTTGCTCTTTCGCTTCCGCAATTGTTTCATTTTGTGCCTTGTCCGCGTCATCGGGTTCCGCGTTGGAATGCAAAACAGGATGTCCTGCAGAATAGCGGAAATTATACGCTTTTGAACGCCATTTTGTGGGTTTATGGAGACATGCATGAACGAGCCCTGACCAATGCGGTAGTGAAGATGCAAGTATGCTGCTGCATCTTTGGCCTTTTGGTGCGGTACATTTTTGCATCCTATATGTATGATCATATACAATAGAAGGCAAAAAAATAGCCTCTTTGCGTGTGTGTGTGTGTGTAGTAGCGCTATGAGGCAAACATGTATCTTGAGGCATTACTGGGAACCTAATATGGGTCCATGGAGGGGTATGTGGGGGAAAAAGAGGGCGCATCGTTTCTGTCTTGTGTCCTCTTTGATGTTTATTTTGTACATATACATGTACCTTTTCTTTTTCTCTTTTTCGATATATACGTATATACGTATAGGTACAAACGCATACATGTATGTGTTTTCACTTCTTCTTTTTTCTTCTCTCTTTTTTGGTTCTTGGAGCGCAATGAGCACGGCGTCTTCGGCCACCGCAACTAATGGCGTTGGCATTCACTTTGACAATGACACCGCTGCTGTTGCTGCTGTTGGTGGTGGTGTTCCTGGTGGTAGGGGAGGTGGTAGCAGCAGCTTCACTGCATACCACTTTGCATCTTTTGCCGCGATGGAGGTGACAGTGATAATCGTACCGCGTTTTACGATGCCACGCGTGTCGACGGCGTTTGGAGGGCGTTATGGTCCTTTCGCACCGAATTATCCCGTTGAATTGCCACTTTGGCTCGCGTTGCACATACGCCAAACGGATACATGCACGATCAATCCGCCACCCTTCATGACGATACCGTACCTCCGCAATGTGGTCGAGAAGGAGAAGGAGAATGAGGCAACCTTTGAGGCACTGCCGTTCTATTTCTTTGAGGTGGTGAAGAAACTCTGCGAGAACAGCGCTGCCGCGGAGGATGTACCGCATGTGGCCGAAGTTATTCGCCTTGTGGGGGAAATCAAGGCGATACGGAGGCAGAAATTACAGAGGAGCATGGCTGTGTTTGAGGCTGAGGGCTCCCCTGTGTACATCCCTGGCATCAAACTCACCAACATTGTGAATAATGAACTGGAGTATCTTCGCAGATCCTTTTCGAAGGTCCTCCAGCAGGCGGCGGAGATGAAGCGACGCAGGGAGCAACTTATTGGCGGGGCGGTAGAAGGCATGACACCACTTCGACCAAGCCGTGGGGCACCTTCAACCCCGGCATTCTCCTCTGCCGCAGTGGACGCACGCATGTCAACGCACAGTGGCATCGACGGGAGTTTCATCACCAGCACCGCGGAGGACACGATAGCCCCCACAGCGACGTTGCACGGTGCCGAGCAGCAGTCTGTGTCTAGCCAGGGCCCGACCACAACGGCCTCCTCGGCGATGGAACCCACAGAAACGTTGACCACCGCCACGGAAAGCATCGCGTCCCCACCTGTGAAGAAGAGACGGACGCTGCGGCAGACATAACAAATTATGCTCCACGCACATTCGTGTGCACACGGAGGCAGAAACTTCTTTAGGTTCTCTTGAGACGGGCGCTCAAAAGAAGAAATATTCCTTGGAGGATGTTTTTTTTTCTTTCCTTTTTCTCTATGTGTTTGATGGGAAGGGGGATGTTGATTGGCACTCCTGTGTCTCTTGCAGAGTTCTTTCCGTTAAATCCTTTTTTTCGTGTGTGGTTTTTCTTCTTCTTTTTCTGCCTCTTCCTCTTGCCGTTGCTATTGACATCTGCAGGTTTGTGTGCACCATTGCAGTTGAACGGAGGAAACGAACAAAATAAACAAACAACAAAACCAGGGCCCGCCTGCGGCATACGTGTGCACCGGTTTAAAAAGGCGGAGCAGGAGAGAAGGAATATAAATTGGAGCAAAAAGGGGGGAGGGAAAGAAAAAGAAGAAAAAAAAAAAAGTAAAACAACAGCGAAAAGCAAAAAAGGAAGAGGACAGACGAAAACAAACAACAAACAATCAAACGACAAAAAAAAAACGAAAGGGAAAGACAGTGAAAATGGACTTTTTCAATTCCACTAAGCATACTTCATCGTTTTTTGTGTTTCTTGAGAGGATGCAACACTACCCTGGCGACACACTACGCGGTGTGGTCGAGATAGCTGTGGAAGCACCACTTTATTTCACGACCCTGCAGGCCTGCGTTTTGGGAGAGGAGACGACGCGGTTTGGTACGTCTTTGACGAAGCGGATTGACACGGAGACGCGATACACGACATTTTACCGTCAGAATGTTATATTGGCGGGTGATCCTCCCAACCCTGAAACACGCTCAGCGTCCGAGGAGGATTTTAGCGATGTTTGGAGTGACAATGGGGGCAATTTTATGGAAGGCTCGGGAGCCAAAACCGTTGTAACAAAAGGACTCATGCCGGGGACGTACAGTTTCCCGTTTTCTGTGCGGTTACCAGATGTACTGCCTCCATCTTATGTGGATCACCGCAATACCGGCTCCTCAAAATTGTCTTATGAGGTGCGGGCTAAACTATTTGCAGGCTCACGTGTCCTGGCGAAGCACCGAGTCTACTTTTCGCTTAAGATGCCTCCGCTAAATCCAAAACGGTGGATTAAGGCACACATGGATAGGGGTTTTTTCTTCATTACACCATCCAAATCGGCAGTTGCAACTGATGACGGGACTGAAGCGAGTGAGAGCAATACGGGCAGTAAAACGGTTCTTATAGACCATCAAGTGTCACTTGAAAGTGCGATGGAACCCGGTAGGCAAGGCGGTGAAGGGTCTTCTTGCAGCAACAACTTTTTGGGGAGTACTTTTCAAGATGCTACTGCGAAGGCTTTCTTAAAAAACACAATGAATAATTGGCCTTCACCCGTGTCTGCGCATGAAAACAGCAGGAGCGAGGGCACGGATGGTAATTCGGGGATTATCATTCCCGGGGGAAATGAACATATTGCGGGAAAACGAACATGCGAACACGTTTTAGAGCGGACGGAGGGTAATCCCGGTGCCCACCCCTCTCCCTCCGCTTTTTTGAAGGAGAATTCTTCTTGGGAGCATCATCTTGAAGTGCCCGTCTATGGCGTCTTCAAGAGAGGCGTCGTTGATGTCTTTTTGATAGTTCATCAGATCATCGGCACACGAGGGAGTCAAATCCGATTTCGTGCCATTGTGGACAATACGCGAGGTGGGTCATGTGTGACAAAAGTGAAGTTTCAGATTGTTAGCCACATCACCATGAGATCGCATGCGGAGGAACAGGATTATAGGAGTGTTTTGACAGAAAAGGTGCTGCATGAAAATATATCTCGTGAGGAGAATCATGGAATTGCGGAGATGGAGTTGGTCCTTCCAGGTAATACACCACTCACACTTTTTACCCCCGGATACTCGTGCCGTACGTTTCTTGAGGTAAAGCTCTCATACTCACAGGGTCTTTTAACCCAGTCGGGGTCAGCGGGGGTTGAGATTGCTATTGTGGATCGCTTTACGGACTCGGATAGTTCCCGGCTTTTAAAACACTGGACCAACCGCTTTCTTGGCAGGGAGCTGGGTAAAAATGTGTGCACTTCCCCAGATATCATTTGTCCTTTTGTCAAGAATGGGGCAATGAAAGTCATTCAGGAGGAGTGCGAACGGGAGGTGGACCCCCTTTTATCTTCACATTCCTCCACATCTACCGCCCACGGGGGGACCAAGGCGCCAGGCCGACGCCATCAAAGACACCGTCTCAATTTCGATGAGGTTGCATATTATGCACGCGCAATGGATGCCCCCAATCCGCTGCTGACAATCCCATGGGATGCGCGCATTGAGGTGGAGTAAAATTTTCCTTAACTCCCCAATTACCCATACACATTGCAAATAAGTTCTAATTTTAATCATGTCAGTCACGCAAGTACACTCTTTTCTCATACCAATGGGCTGCTGTAGGTATGAAGATGAGGCAGAAAAAGCGGACAGAAGCAAATAAACAGCTATATTGAATGGAAGCAAATGAAGTATGGCTCTTTCCCACCCACCCCCCACTCGCTAAATTATGATCCCAGGCATCCTACGTACAAATAAGAAGAAAGAGGCGGAGAACAACGACATCAAAAAGGAAAACAACCAAAATAAAAAAGGGGAATAGAAAGGACAAATGGGAGAACAAAAACAGAAAACTAAAAATATTAAGAGAAACAGCGAGTTGAGCTTTTTTACCTTCCTCTGCTTTTTTTTTTTTTTTTTTTAGAAATACATTTCTACGGCGGGAGTGTGGTTGAGTGTGGGTGTTTTCTTGTGGTTTTTTCGTGTTTTTTTTTTTTTTTTTCCTTTTCCCCTCCTTTTTGTGTAGATGAGTATATGAGTGCATAGGATTTGATTTTGATGTGATGGTTCGTTTTTTTTTTTTTTTATATTCATTTTCTTATTGGTGCAATTTTTTGGAGGGAAGAGTGTGCGGCATTTATGAATGGAGGGGGAGGGAAGGAGGAGTCAACGATGGATGGTGCCTCTTTTTTGAACGTTCCCGCCCACCCGAGTTTCGGTTGCCCGATTTTTCTCTTAAAAGACACCGCCTTGGAGGGCAGCGAGTGCAGTTTCTTTTTATTTCTCATTCCACCCGCCCACTCCCTCACCACCACCACCACTACTACTGTGACTCTCCGCATGGGGGGGAGTTTTGTTGGCTGCGAGGCTCCCCCTTTTTTTTTTTTTTTAGGGACCGCCGCTTCGTGGGGTCCGCAGCGCGCCCGGTTTTCATAGGACGAGCCTCAATGGACCGATTGGTTTACTGATGTATGGGCGTGGGGTGAATTTTTTCACTACGAGTGCGGGGGCTGCCAGGCGCACTGAACCCAGCCGTCATCTCCCCACCGTTGCCCCCTTCTCTGTCTGTGGGAATAGGGGGGACCAGGCCGCATCCCGGCGCACATTACTTTCTTTTCTTTTCTTTTTTTACCCTCCTCTTTCCCCTTTTTTTTTGTGTTTGTTTGTTTTTGTTTTGTTTTGTGCAGTTGTCATCTTTTCTGTTTGTGCCCCCGAATTCTTTTTTTTTTCTTTACTTTTTTTTTTTCCATTTACTGGAGCGCTGAGGTTTTCTTTTTTTTTTCTTTTTTCGTTGCCGTTTGTTGTTGTTGCCGTTCTGCTTTATGCAACGCTCCCTGCAATTTTCTCTGGCGGGCTGCTTGTGGAGTACGTTCATGCGACAAGATTCCAGCGAAAAACGGAATGCCTTTAAATGAAGAGAGAGGGAGAGAGAAATAAAAGGAAAAGTGCATGGAGGCAGGGAGAGGAACCGCGAGGAAGGCGGAAAAAACAAGATTGAACGGAGGATGAAAAAACAACAAAATAAAACAAAAAAAAGAAATGTATAATGTTTTGATAACATGCTTGCGTGGCTTATCCACGCCTGGGGATACAAAGTTGTGTGCGCCTGCGTACTGTTTGGCAGGTGTTTTGTTTTGTTTGTTTGTTTGTTTGTTTTTTTGTTTTCTGTTTTTCTCTTCTGCTGCGGAAATTTTATTTTATTTTTTTCATTTTTCTTCTTTTTTTTTCTTATTTTTGGTTTGGTTTGTACTGTACGTGTGGGATCTACGCTGTGCGACATGCGATACTACTGTTGCGTGCCAAACAAACAGCAAGTGGCGGTGGTGGGGGGCGGTAGCGAGAAGCTAAAGCACACAGGAAGAGAAAAGAGAGGGAGTCCGTGAGACGGGGGGAGGCTCAGAAGGAACAACGAGGGTTGGGAAAAGCAGAGCGACTAGGCATATTACTTGCGATCACGCATCCATACGCCCGCAGTGGAACATAGCCAACAACTACAGCAGCTGAATTAATGGAGGGCTTCTCCCCCTTTCGTGTTGTGGGGGCTGTTTGCGGTGAGGTTCCCGTCAGCAGCACGGTGTTGTATGGGGCACCGGTCTTGATGGTCGCTACAGGTCGCACCTTCCAGTTGTTCCGTGGGAAGGAGTTGTCCATGTTGCGTGGCGGGCCTCATTTTCATAGCCGCGTGCGGGCAGTGGCGCAAACCGGCAAGTACCGCTTTGTCGCCGAAGGTCCCCATGTGCATGGCTTTACACACCACAAGCCAATTTGGACATGTACGCATCACGACATCACACAGAGCAAAGTAAATCACCTTCTTGCCGCGGATGATATCCTGTTTTGTATTGGGCAAGACAAGCGGGTAGCTGTGCGGGCGGTGAAGTCGGGGAAACTTCTTGGAGAATTTCTTATCGAGCGCAGCGAGGAGGTGCGTGCGGCCATTTTACCCACCGGGTACACGAACAAGTTACTTGCTGCCACCGTGGAGGGGTCGTTGCATTTGTATAACTTTAAGACCGGTGTCTGCTTGTGGTACGCGCAACGGGAATCGGATGCCCAGATTTTGTCGCTTGCAGCCGGCAGGTATAAAGACATCATCGCCTACGGCACGAGCTGCGGCCGGGTTGTGGTACTGAACCTTCTCACAAATGAGGAGATCATGACGTTTGAACATAAGTACCAGGGGACTGTTTCTGCTTTGGCGTTTCGTGTGGACAAGAGCATTTTGGTCTCTGGAACGACCGCAGGTGAAGTGGTCTTGTGGGATCTTGAGAACCGCTGCCTTGAGGGTGTTCTTACACGCAGTAAGCAGGTGCGTTCTGAAGTCGAGGTGTTTGAAACTCCACACACGGATGCTATACATTCTATTGTTTTTCTGCCAACAGATGGTACTACCATGGTGACGGCGGGGGCTGATAATGCGCTGATGCAATTTAGGTTTGATACCGTTGATGGCCTCGGGATGCTTGTGCGAGAGCGTCGTGGTCACATGGGTAGTTGCACCAATGCTCTCTTTTATAATACAGATCTGCTTCTCACGGCTGGGACGGATCGGGCGCTTCGTGTAACGCATGTCTTTTCGGATCGTGCTTCCTGGGAATTATCACAAGGTAAACTAGGCCGGCGTGGTCGTGAAAAACAAATGGGTCGAGAAGCGTTGAAGGCGACACCTGTTATTGCCATGGCCAGTTGTACCGCGAGGAACTATCAGTGGTCAAGTGTCGTCTCGCTACATGAAGCCTCCGCGAAAATGTGTTGTTGGCGAATGGACACACGTTCTTTGGAGTGTAAATTGAGTGGTATTACAACTTCCATGCATACTGCACGCACTGTCTCGTTGAGTGATTGTGGGAATTTTGCCGTTGTCGGGTACTCCAGTGGTAATGTGGCAATTATCAGCATCCAGAACCGAAGTGTGAAGCAACTGTTTGACGTTGCACTTCAGCCAAATGATTTGGCTCATACCAGCTCTGTAGAGTGCGTTGAAATCGCTTGTGGCAATAGTGTCGTTGTTACCGCGGGCTTGGATTCACGTATAAAGTTATGGGATCTTCTCACAGGTTGTTTGAGATGTGCTTTACAAGTGGACTGTCCAATGAGTAAGTCTTGTTTACACCAGCCCTCATCGCTCTTTATTGTGGCACAGCACTTTAAAATTCGTGTCTATCACTGTAACCCCGATGTAGGCTTTGATGAGGATTTCCTCGCAACACCTGTGCGAGAGTTTGACGGGCACAATGGTCCTATCACGGCCCTGGCCTTGGCGCCGGATTCCTACCGTTATGTTGTGTCTGCCTCTGGCGACGCCGTGCTCCTCGTATGGGATCTTGCAGCCGCAGCTTGCGTCGGCCAGTACCGGCTTGCGTCCCCTGCCACCTCGCTTAGCTTTCATCCGGATGCACTTTTTATGGTTTCCACACACGCAGGCGAACGTGGCGCATTCTTGTGGTCGAACAACCTGCGTTACGGGTTTGTGCCTGAGGTTGTGACGGACCCGAAAGGGCGGCGGATAGAGCAACTGCCGCTCCTGCACTTTCCAACCGCGCATGGCGGAGATGAGTTGCAGGAAGACGAGCAGGAACAACACCATCAGGACGAGGAAGAAGAAGAAGTGAGCGGGGGGATGAATTTTAACGGTCTTCAGCCGCCGGGCAAATTGACAACGACAATGAGTGGTCGGAAGGAAGAAGAAGAAGCGGAGCTTTTTGATGCGTCGAAAGACAGTGCACTTATACGGCGCCAGCGGAAGCAGGAGCAATGGGCGCAACTTGATGGAATTGTTTCCGGAGGTCTACGACTCGCCGGAGTGCCCCGTTCCCTGTGGTTTAACCTCACCCTTCTGGATCAGATCAAGGAAAAGAACATGCCACTTTTGCCACCCAAGAAGCGTGATGTTCCCTTCTTTCTCCCCACAACACAAGAGCTGCGTCCAACGTTCCTTGTGGTGGCATCCTCAGGTAAAGCTGGGGAGGCGGCAGCTTCTCAGACACATTTTGTGGGTGCGTCTCTTTTAGAACGGACTCCGGTGCAGCACATGTTGATGCAAGGGGAACATGAGAAATTGATGCTGCACTTGCTCGCATTGAAGACGCCGCAGGCCATAGACTTGGAGATTAAGCGTGCCGTGGAGTACACCGACGGCGTATCTTACTCGAAGGAAGAAATTGATTGTATCAAGAGTTGTGTTTGTGGGCTTTTTTCTTTTCTGGCGGTGTGGCTACGGCGACGTGAAAATGTGGATCTTGTGCAAGGGATTTTGGCTGATGTCATCCGTTCACATGGCACACTGTTGACCAAGTGTGGGGGAGAGATGGTGGCGGTGCTTGAGGAAGTGGCACAATTGCAGAACGCGGTACGGCACAGCATGGATCACCTAGTGGGTTACCCGAGCTGTCTTGTTGGTACCTTTTCGGGCTCACTCTTTTAGTTTCGTTTAATTTCTTCTTTCTCTCCACTTTCTTTTTGTGTTTGGATGATGGAGAGAGAGAGAGAGAGAAAGGAAGGCTGAAAAAGGGGCGTTGAGAACTTTGAAGCGAAGAGGAAAACAACGATGGCAACGAAAGGAAAAAAAAAAAAAAAAGGAAATTAAAGAAATTTAACCGATGGGCGTTTTATTTTATTTTTTTAAATGCGCGACCATTCTCGTATAAAGTTCAACGGTTGAAAAAAAAAAATTATATAAAAATCATTTTAATGCGATAGCGGCAGGGGTAGGATGCAAACACGCACACAAACTATTCCACTTATGGGCATTTTATTTCTGTTGAATTATTTATTTATTTTTATTCTTTTCTTTATGAAAATGCATGCATTTATGTCTCTGTTTCTGTGGGTATCTATTTTGGTTTCTGACTTCCCTTATGGGCTATTGTAAATTGCTTCATAAGTGGGGTGAAGGGGCGCATGCCCACGATGGAAGCGTTCTCGGCGGGAGAAGCGGCTCACATGTTCCGCCCAAAGATCAACAGAAACAGTCGTCGTCTTGTAAGTGGAAGTTTTTCTGTAGAAGAACGACAAAACCATGACATTATGCGGCGAGAACGGCACCGTCAGGAGCTTTTGGCGAGGGCAGAGGAGGAACGTCAGCGCACCGAGACGTTTGCCCCCGTCACCAACCCGCGTGTGAGGCGCAGTAACGACACTGTAGATGGTCATGAAAACAGTCGGACCGCACTTATTCGCAAAGTGCACATGAATTCCGTGGAGGAGACATTTCATCCTGTCATCAACATCAAGAGCCAGCGCATGGTCACCAACGGCACATGGAAGAGCACGCACCAGCAGTCACAGGAGGCTTTTCGGCGCGTACGGGCGCTGTGGCGCACCCACGCTGGGGTTGGAAGTGGCGAAATCACTCTTGGTGGTGTATACGCAGCGTTAAAAGAACTGGGGTTGCAAGCACCCTCCACCGTTGTGGATAAATTTCTTCTGGCCCTCGGTTTGGATGAATCAGCTGGTAGACGTTGTGTGCCTTATGATCGGTTTGTGAAGGTTTTTACAACCGTGCTCCGCGCCGCACTTATTCCCGTTGCTGTGAAAAATAATACTGTGAATGACGATTCTCATGACGATGATGATAGCGCCTCCTCGGTAGGAGGTAAAGAGAAGCCTGAAACGGATGAACCTATTCACCCACGCTCGATGTCCTCACAGGGCCCCGTGCCCACCATGCGCCATGCCAAACGTCTCGATTCTACGACGAATGGAAGGAAGATCGCAGTTACGGATACATCACAAACGAATACCTCCAGAGCATCAGTACCGGTCATGCAGCGGCGTTTGCGGATGAAGAGCGGAAGCACGGACGCCATTCCGTTTGACGGGGAAGTTAATTCTCCGTCACCCATTGCACCGTCGTGTAGCTCGCGTTTCAGGGATCCTGTGATGGATGACCAGCGAGTGTTGGAGGGGTCGCCTGGGCTGAGCCGTAGTCCACATCCGTGTCTTTTAGAGACGACGAAGAAAAAGAAAACAACATATGACCCGCTTGAAGGATGCACATTTGCTCCAACGATTAACAAGAGAGTTAAAGTGGTGTCATCTACGCCGCTCACAGCAAAAAAAGAGGGAAGTGAAAACGACGGGGGAGAACCGTTTCCTCAGATAAAGCGCAAATCTTCCGTTGTGGTGTATAAGTCAAAGGAGGAGCGAGAGCTGGAGGAGTGTACATTTGCTCCCAACACCGCACGCTTCCACAAGGACCGTGATTCACTGGCATGGTGGACGCGAGAACCATTTGTTGGTGCGGGCACGGAATCCACGGCGGCCTCCGCGTCTGGTTCTCTCCTCACAGCAGAAGATCCTCCCGTTAAAGGCGGCGCTGAAGAGGATACAGAGGAGAAGCAGGGGAAATGCCGCAGAAGCAGTAGCGATGGCCGTTTGCATCAGCAAGCTGTAATTCGAAATCCCTCCCCTTTACCCATTGCTATGGGATTTGACAAGGCGGTGCAGCGGATGCTGGAGGCGAGGAAAAAGACCCGACCAAAGTTTGAGGAAATGCTGCGCGCCTCCACGGAGGAGTCTCATAAACCCTTGCAGCCAACCGTTGTGGAACCATTTTCCCTACAGGCCGAGGCGCGACATCTGCATCGGGAGCAGCAGAAACCGGTGCTGTACGTTGATGTCGACTTACCGAGTGGGAAGACGGGACGCATTGGCGTTCACAGGGGGGATGAAGCAGCAGATCTTGCAAAGCGTTTTGGCGATGCGTACGGATTGAACGAAGAACTGCGGCAAAGACTGGAACTTTTGCTTTCGGAAAAGCTTAGAGAACTCTTAAGGGAGAATGGGCGTACGCTGTGGCTCTGAAGGTGCATCTTTGTAGCGGGTGAATCAAGTGGCTGGGAGCGATGAAGCTTTGAATGTGCACAGATGCCTCTGTTTCACGAGTTCAATAATAACACGTATACATCCTGACGGATTAGACGAGGTGGTGGAAAGAGACTGAAGCAACCCAGCACCGTCCAACAAAGCAATATGAAAAGACGATCCAAAAAAAAAAAAAATGAATGGCTGCGTAGAAGAGATTCAATTTTTTTCTTACCGGTGACGGAGGCACACACGCCCTGGCGGTTTGTGCAGCGGTGGGAAAGAGAACCCACACCAATCAAAAAAAATTTTTTTTTTTGGACTGTTTCTGTTTCTTCTGCATGCGTACTTCCCTCTAATTGCTGATGTCGTTTTTCTTTCGCTTCCCTTCTACCTGCTTGTGTATGCGTGGACGAGTAACGGCGTTTTTGTTGGTGAATTGAACATACCATTTAATTTATATGCGGACGGCAACGTCTCTCACGCTGGGATCGTTCACAAACACGACAAATGAGTTCCTTGAAGCGGACTCGGGAAGGTAATGATCTGCATGACATTCGGGCGTCCTTCCAGCGGGTAAGAGAGAAAACCGCACTGCGGCGGAGTGGGCCATACTTTCTTGAGCGCATTATTTTCCCCCGCCTTCTCCAACCAAATTACAGACTTGGTGGTGGGTTTCCGGATCCGACGCGCTTGTGCTGCGAAAAGGGCACCGGGTCCCCCCAACGGCACGGGACACTTGCCCTGCCCCAAAGAATTGAAGCTTCCGCGTGGCTTCGCCGGTTTCGGTTGTTGCGACTCCATGACTTCCACAGGGTGGTGCCACAGGATCAAGTGACAGGGACATTAAGTTCCATTACGGATATTGTGTTTGACATGCAGGAGCAGTTTGCTGTGGCCTGCCAGGCGCGATGCCTCTCTGTGTACAGCACAGAGCGATGGCTTGAAAGTTGCGAGATGTGTGAGGAGCCCAATGATGCCTCTCCATTGGTTAGAGTGAAGGGGCGTGAGTGGCATGGTTTTCGCAGTGGCTTTTCTGCAGTGCAATTCCTCTCATCATCGCTGCAACTTGTAGCAGGTTACCACCGTGCCCCTTTTGTTGATATCTTTGACTTGGAAGAAGTGGACGAGGAAACCTGCGAGCCGCAACAACGCTTTTCTTTGACAGAAGACCACGTTGATGTGCACGGAACTAGGGGCGGCGGCAACAGCAGCAGTAGGGCCAGTATTGGCACGAATACTGAAAGCATCTATGCAAATGACGTGGTGGCCGTTACAGAACACGTTAGTTTGGCGGCACTTTCTTCTGGCCGCACGGTGTGGTTGGATCGTCGCAGCGGTACGGCCATCACATGTACCGGTGCCTTTTCGCGAGTGTATAACATTGGGCAAAGAGGCTCTCTTTTTGCCCTTCATGATCCACTCACCGCTGTTGCATTTCTCTGCCGTGATCATCCCATCAACATTTTGTGCGGCTCCATGTCAGGGTCTGTGCAACTGTGGGATGTGCGTTGCGTTCGTGAATGTGTTGCCATGCATCAAGCACCTTCCACCATCTGCCGTCTGCAGCCGTCCTACGCCTCATCGCTGCGAAGTGTCGTGTGGCTCAACAACCAAGCGGGGGATGTGCAGGGAATAAATGTGGGGCATAGTGACATGTGTCTGATTGCAGAGGCAAGGTGTGCCGATTTCATGCAGACAACTGCGGCTTTTGATTCACCGTCGTTGCGAATTTCAGTGCTGGACCCACCGGGTCTCATTGCCTTTCCTTACGCATCCTCCAATTTGTTGGTGCTCTTTGACGTGAGCGCGTTGATGAAGCCGTCACTCTCCCCAACCGCACGCCATATGCCAGACATTCATGACGACATGGACGACGCTGATGATGATGATGGACAACATGCGCCATTCTCGTCGTTGTCGCATGGAATTGAGGAGAGGCACATGATATCGCCACCGTCCTCCCTGCATGGGGGCGTGGTGTATCAAATACCGTGTAACAACCTCATAAAATTTGGACAGTCGCCAACAATCTCCGCGTGTGGGATATGGACGAAGTGTGGGCGCATCGTTTCTGGTGATGCCATGGGTTCTGTGTGGCTTGCGTGACGAGTGTGAAAGTGCAGCTGTCGCTTGTGTGTGTGTGTTTGTGTGTGTTTTACTGTTCTCATGGGGATCCTCTTCTTCGCTTTTCACCCTTTTCATTTGGCACCTCCCAGCAGTGAGCGAGAGGAATTTTATTTATTTATTGTATTTTATTAACGAAAAAAAAGGGGGGGGGGAGGTGAGGTGAAACATGTTCTTTTGCCCTGCAGCTGCGACCGCTTTGCTGCTCTGCTGATGTGTTGTGCATTCAAAGAAACAAACAAACAAACGGGCAAAAACAACAAAAAAAAGGACGCACTTTTGGAGGAGGAGGAGGAGGGGATGAACGTCAAACAAAAGAGAGGGAAGAAGTCATGATTTGTTGTGTAAAACCGAGCCATTGGGCCGCCTATTCGCATTTGCACTCACACACAACCGCACGTGTTGTTTGCCACCCCCTTCCCCATATTCTTTTGCAATTATTATTTATTTATTGGAAGGGGGAGAGAAAAAAAAAGAAAGAAAAGGAAGGAAGAAATAAAAACGAAAAGAGGGAAAGAAAAAGAAGACCAAGACGGGTAGTGGTGTCTTCTTTTATCTTTTGATTGGTAGGGTGAAGAATGCTACGTTGCAGCATGCTTCGGCGTAGCATGGGGCCTGGTGCCAGCTATGTCAACACCGTCTTTGACACGGTGGCTAAAAGGTATGACCTGATGAACGATTTGCTCTCGCTTGGTATACATCGAAGGTGGAAGCAACATTTCGTGAATGATTACGTGCGCCCATGTCCTGGTGGCAAATTTCTGGATGTTGCTGGGGGCACAGGTGACATTGCCTTTCGAATTATAGACGGTGTCCGATTAAAGGAGGAAGTTTTTGGTCTTGTGCCAACATTGCGGTATTTGACAGAGGTGGTAGTGTTGGATGCCAACGAAAATATGATTCGTGAGGGAGAGGCACGTGCAGCTCGAGAGGGATATCTTGACGTCAAGTGGGTTATTGGCAAAGGAGAAGAGTTGCCTTTTGATGATATGAGCTTTGATAGCTACACCGTGTCGTTTGGCATTCGTAACTTCAGCGATCGTCCTAAGGCGCTACGTGAGGCCTATCGTGTGCTTAAAGTTGGCGGTGTTTTGAATGTTTTAGAATTTAGCAAAGTGACATGCCCCTTTTTGAGTTTGCCATACGATGTGTGGTCGTATGGCTTTATTCCCATGGCAGGACAAATACTGGTAGACAGGGAGAGTTACCAATATCTTGTGGATAGCATACGTGCCTTCCCGGATCAGGAGGAATTTGCAAAAATGATAAGTGATGCGGGGTTTGGGTATGTTCGCTATGAAAATCTCACGGGTGGTATTGCATGCATTCACACAGCCGTTAAGACGGAGGCAGTACGAGTAAAACCTGAGAAAAGCCCTTTGGAGTCGGTAGCAACGAAGGCAAAGGAAGAAAAAAACAGCGTGGATGATGAACAGCTCAACCCTGCGTAATAACCAAATTGTTCCCTTTATTTTATTTTATTTTATTTTATTTTATTAAGAACTTATATGAAGGGAATGTTTACGAGAGGTCTGTCCAACTACATGAATGAATATATCCCAATAAGACAAAGATATTTCTGTATGATGTTTTCCTTGAAAGACGGCGATGGAAGGAATTACGATTAGGGGGAGGGGACATGGTGGCTGTAAAAGGAACCTAGGGTGTACCACTGAATAACGAATAAATATGTATTCATGTATATACCAGGAACAAATATTTAGGAAATGGCAGATTCAATGCCTTTTTTTTTTTTTTTTTCCAGTTAACGGTTTTTTTTTTTTTTTTTTTTTCCCGTACTATTTTATTTTGTTGGATAATTTTAGGATCCGGTCATAAAATTGGATGAGACTATTTCTTTTGTTCAATTGTTTTTTTTTGTTTTGTTGCTGTTGTTGTTTTTGATTATTTGGAAATGTGGAGTGGCATATTAGGGAGAGAGATGTGCGACGGGTACACCACATACACACGGGGAGATATTTATGCGGGAGTGTATGTGTTTGCCGTTGCAGTGCTCAATAGTGCAGTCGACATGGATAAAAAAAATTATTATTATTATTATTATTATTAGTGTGTGGCCTCTGTGCATGAGTCCTCCTTTTTTTTCCGTTTTGTAATCTTGTGGCCTAGATACGATATATACACAGAAATACATACATTATATATATAGAGAGAGAGAGAGAGAGGGAGGGAGAGGGAAAGGTGGTGTCTGTGTGTGATATATATATATATATATAAACTATAGAAAGAGACGCAACACGCACACACACACACACAAGATGTCATTACTTGAAAAGAAGCAGGATAACAGTGGCGGCAGCAGCAATAGTAATAGCAGTAGTAGCGGTGGTGATTTCAAGGCCAGGAAGGACAATGATGGAAAAGCAGAAGAGGGGGGAGAAGAAAAGGATGGACGGCTACGGACACCCAGATCGTACGCCATGTTATCTATTCCACGTGAGCTGTCACATACACCTGCCATTGCTGGATTATCTCCTACTGTTCGAACGCCATTTATTCAGAGATGCCATTTGCATCACGGTGACTATACCAGTACCGACAACAAGGATGAGCATTATCGGCAGCCGTTGGAGCATATGACAATCATATTTGAGGAGGACAGTCTGAAGCTGACGACGACAAGTTTGTTAGGTAAGGGGGGTTTTGGTCGTGTGTATGCGGCGCGGTCCAATGGGGGTGAGTTATATGCCTTGAAGGTATCCGCAAAAAAACTGACTGAGGGTGACTGGGCCCGTCTTCTGAAGGAGGTGGAACTGATGAATCACTTCTCACGGCACCCCAACGTGGTGAAGTTTATCGCCGCTGGACGGGATGAGGAGACGGCGTATGTGGTGATGGAGTGCTGCGCCAGCCGCTCACTGCACGATGTTATCGCCAATCACGGACTAGATGTACCGGAGATTCTGTGGGTGGGGTGGGCTCTTGTGGACACCATCGCCTTCATGCATTCAAAAGGATGCATCCACCGTGACCTGAAACCGCAGAATCTTCTTTTTGACTTTGATGGGAATTTGAAAATTACAGACTTTGGCCTTTCCAGTAGAATTGCGGAGGCGCAACCACGCAAGACAGTTGCGGGCACCGCTATGTACATGGCGCCAGAGATTGCGGAGGCAGTTTACAAGCGTATGAGTCATTCAACCCATCAGCCGCCGCTTCAGTACGGTCAAGAAGTGGATACATGGAGCATTGGTGTCGTGATTTACGTCATGCTGACACGCATGAACCCATACATGGAGGCAATGGAGAAGAGAGGGACGCGGGAAATGGATAAAACGCAAAAAACTCTCTCACTCTTTAATGCTGTTGCGGATGCCGCATGGGAGTGGCCAACAGGGTGGTCAGGCGACCCGGAACTCTGCGATCTTGTAAACCGGGCACTTCATCGGGATACCAAGAAGCGGGCCACGCTGCAGGAGGTGTTGCAACACCCCGTGTGGAATCGACGTCCGCTGTCATGCCCACTCTCCCTGTTGTACAAGTTGAATCTGCTGGAACGTCCCTCTTCCTCTTCTGTTTCACGCCATGGCTCCACACGCCGTTCATTGACTCGTCTTGCAGACAATCTTCCAATTCCCACAGGAAAGAGGACGGCAGATGATGTGCTCGCGGAGGGAATGCGGCGCGTCGTATTAACGGAGCAAAGGGCTCGTGCAAATTTGGTGTTGGAACATCACGAAACGTTACGTGTCATGCTGGAGTTGTTGAAACTTTCACGTGCGGAGGCGGACGTCAGACGGAGCATTTGTGAGGACGAACAGAGATACCGCTCTGTGATTCAAAATCAACGGGTTACACAGCGAAGCAGACGCAGAAGGAGTGAGGCACTCGTATCGTCATTTTCCGCGGCAACCGTAGCGACAGAGGCGGGACCCGTGACTCGCTCCTCGCGCTCGCACAGACAGTCTAGCGTCGTTCTGGTGGCGCCCGCGGCTTCCACGAAGGAGGAATCCGGAAGAATTGTCCGTGCCTCACCCGACAAGTACGCCGTGGTTTATCCAGGACGAGACACCGCTACACGGTGGTCGTTGCGTCCTGTGATTTCACTCCCTCGTGAACTAAACAGCGAAATAGAAGAGTTTAGGTGCCTGAACCATCACATCATGACAAAATTGACAGCTATGCCTCATGGGTACAATGGGTTTGATTGTAATGTGTGTGATCGTGAGATTCTTAAGATTTCTCCTGAAACTCCTGCCTTCCGTTGCTATAAATGCGACTACGACCTTTGTATGCGATGTGCCTATCAAGGGCGTCTGAAGGACGTTAATTTTGTGTGCGTGTCATGCGCGAAAAAGTTTACTTCTTCTGCAAAATTGCAGGCCCACTCGTTACAGTGCCGTGGTCCTAGCTGGAGTCCATCCCCACGCCGTTCCTCACGTATGAACACGATGCTGTGGGAGG